ATATGATGAAATTGGGAGCAGAGAGAGAAAAATAACCGACAATTAAGAATGATCAATACATATACAGAATTAATTTCAAAGCTCTAAAGCATTACAAATAAAAACTTAGAAATTATTCTAGAAATCATTCATGTCCTGACAATAGTCCCTCTCCTAAAATATTTAATCATGTTTGGTAGCTATTGTCAACCTAGGAATAAAAATATTAGAGAAAAATATTTCCAAATATGTTGAGTTTACTCAGGAATAGAAAATAGAATTATAATCTAGAATGCATATCATGGCAAGCCATGAATACATTCAGTGAGAGAAGAGTAAGAGAAAGCCTTTATTGGCAGAAAGGAAGAGGTTCACATAAGCTGCTTGGAAACAGAATTCATTGGTTTCGGAGGCTCAAAGTCATGTTGGTAGTCAATTTAATGCCATTACTGAGCAGTTTCTTCTCAGAGCACCTTATCTGAATTACTTTAGTTCTAAGGAATGTCTAGTGATTAACCTTGTCACAGAAACATGCACGTACATGCAAAGCAGGGGATGCGTGAAAGACATGAGGGATTTCTGATGGATTTTTAGATGGTCTTTGGAAACAGTTCTCATCTCAGACAAGCAAACAAGAGCTCCCATCCTTCATGCCTTTCTCAGCCCTATTTTGTCTGGGTCTGACAGAAAGCGATTTCATAAACTTTCACACTACCTAGTGGGTGTAAACTATGCTTCAAAACAAGAGGGCAATGGGTCACACTGTCTCCATTACTTATATCTACAGCTTGACTCAAGACATCCTGAAGTTCAAAGCTTTTGTTTTTCAGGAGCAATGAACTCTAAGGGCAAAGTTTGTCCAAAGAAATTAGCAACCAACATGTAATTTTCAATTTTGGATTTAACATATAAAAATAAAACCATGATGTCTGTATGCCAACCATAGAAACAAATGCTAATTTAGGATGATGTCTTCTCAGAGAGCAGATTGGTGGTCATGCTCAAAAACAAGCCCACCTGCTCTTCATAAAAACCCCATAGTTTTGAAGGGGGAGCAATAGACAAAAGGTAGATGGAGGTGCCAGTATATTTAACACATAACCAGGAAGCTCCCTGCTCTCTTTTAGGCTGAGTAAATGATGCACTGTTGTAATATTGAGTAAGTCACTTAAGTTCCAAGAACTCAACTTCCTTCCATCTACTAACAATGACCTGATAGTAAAGAAATTCTGAAAATACGAGACAACACAATTTATCAGCAGCTAACAGTATTAGGTGACTAAGAAAGAAAAAAAAAAGTAGGAAATATCCAGAAAGCAAAAGTAATTCATTTTTTATCATACTACCTCTTTCACCAAATTACCTCTTTCACTAAATTACTTCTTCTAGAAATGTTGTTTTTGAGCTAGTTCAACATCGGTTCTAGAATAACTAATTTAAGAGCTAAGCTTCAATTTTTCCTACACAGTTTTTCAAACTATGTCCCTTTGTCTCGTTGTGAATAAGTGTGTCAGTGTCTTTTTTCTAATTGTGTTATACTGCAAGTTCATGAACTTTTGTCCTAATCTGCTAGTTTAATTAAAAAACTCTCACCAAATATAACAAAAGTTCATACCTTTACTTCAGAAGTATGACCCAACTTTCTAGGGTGCAGATTAGTTGATTAGAAAGAATGAGGGCTTCAGGCAGGTCTCTTTTCTACAATATAAAATGTAGAGTTTGTATTTGTTTTATTATTTTTTAACCCCCAAAAGGAAAGAGTACAATATAAGGGTTAAGTATGCAGATTTTAGAATCCAACAGACCGGGCTTCAAATGCTGATTCTGTTTTCTAGCTGTAGATTGAGGGAAAACTGATTAATTGCTCTAAATCTTAGATTTCTCATTTGCAAAATGGGAATAGTGAAACCTAATCCATGCTTATTGCTGTTAAGGTTAAACGAGAAAAATACACACATAAAAATTATATATAAAGTACATACATAGCAATTAATGCAGTCTGAGGCATAATTAATACTTAGTTTTTATAAGCAAGGATAAAGTTAACCCAGATAATACAGTAGTTTTGAGTAATTTTATTCATTCACTCTTTAGCTTTCCAGAGCCTTTAGTAAATTCTTCTTCAGAAAGAAGTGATTCTCAAATTCTTCACAATCATCTACCAAGTTTGGAGTAGTATCACACCCAGTGTTTTGCTTCTTTTGAGGACAAATGTGAATTCTACACCAAATCCTATAGCTTACTTCTATGTATTATTTCAGATCCAAAAAATATTACTTAACATTTTCAGTTATTCTAGAGAGATTATTTGTATATCAGACATGAAAATGTAGACCACTATCCTGACAAATAATATCTTGAAACCTAAGCATTTAGCAAAGCAGAAATGCTATAGGAAAAACAGGAATAAAAAAACTAGAGGGTCTAATCCTTACCTTCTTTAGCCCCAGAGTATAAATAATTGAGTGTTCTAATTGCACAGGGCACTTTATGCTTTATACAGTAAAAATAAAACAAAGGGCACTGGTATCAAATACAGTCCTCTGTGAGCCAGTGGCATGCCTCCCTGCCCATCACATTTCCTAAGCCAAGACTTGAGTAATCAGGTGACTTGGCAAAGAAAAATAACACATACTCATAGAAAGTCCATAAACCAGGATGGATATGTAACTTGAAAATTCAGACAAGGGTCTATTGCCCTTTTATTGCTTTTGTCTCTTGTCTCTATTGCCTTTTATTACCTCTATTGATGGCAATAGAGACTGTGAACATGGTAAGAAAAAAAGAGACTGCTAAAACTGGCTTGGCACTGCACCCTGTCACACAGCATTGCAAGTCAATGAGAACACAAACAGAATCTGGCTTGCCCTTCTCAAAATCTTCACCATAACCTTGGCCACTCTCTTAATTGAATTTATGGATCTCAGGTTGGTTTGGTCTTTATTATTGGTAAACTATTATCCTTTGGTATTTACTATTTAATATTCTTCACTGAGTATTTATATCAAATGGGTATTTGTTGCTGCTATTGTTGTTTTGCCATTTAGTTAATGAAACTGGCCATATCCAAATGGCCAAGAACAGAATCTAAGCAGAGATGTTTTCTTGTCATAAATTACATATCCTACAAATATGTTAATTTCTAACTGTAGAGTGCATTATGTAGTCCCCTTTTAGTGAATATTTTTTGTACCTCTAAGTCGAAGAGATGAAAAAAACTTAGCAATCACAGTTATTACAAAGAATATAAGCAGATTTATGAGGCTTGAAGAAAGTAATTTAATTGTATCCTATTTCTACATAAAAAATCTTGCAAGTTACTAAATACAAAGTTCATATTAATTACATGTGTAATATACACACTGTATATATGAATAAATACACAAGATTTTTGGCAGAAATCTACTTTTAAGTAATGTTATTTAGGAATAAATTGTCAAGGTCAGGACTCTATGATATTGAGGGCCGGCCCTGTGGCGCACTGGATAGTGCGCCGCTTGGGAAGCGCGGCGGCGCTCCCGCCAGAGGGTTTGGATCCCACATACAGACCGGTTCCTGCTCACTGGCTGAGCGAGGCACGGGAGCAGCACCGAGGGTTGCAGTCCCGTTGCCGGTCCCCGGTCCGGTACGGGGGCAACACTGAGGGTTGCGATCCGTTGCCGGACACGGAAAAAGACAAAAAAAGACAGAAAAAAAAAAAAAAGAAAGAAAATCAAAACATGTTTATTGAAGGAAAAATCAAATGAAACAGAGAGATATTAATTGGGCCGGCCCGGTGGCGCACTGCTACAGTGCGCCACTTGGGAGCGTGGCGGCGCTCCCGCCGAGGGTTCGGATCCCACATACAGACCGGTTCCCGCTCACTGGCTGAGCGAGGTGCGGGCGCAGCACCGAGGGTTGCGATCCCATTGCCGGTCCTGGTCCGGTACGGGCGCGACACTGAGGGTTGCGATCTGTTGCCGGACACGAAAAAAAAAAAGGACTCTATGACATTGAAATAACCAATATGTTCCTTAAAACAAATGAGATGAATTAGAGAATAGACAAAAGATGTTGGAATATGCAATGGTAGCATACATGTGTATTTAGACACTTGCCATCATTTAGAAAGAGTGGGTTATCTTGTTCTAGTGAATAAGGTGAACAAAGGATGTAGTTAAACCAATGAGCTGGCTGTATTTCTAAAATTATCTCTTTTGGGAGACCATTAAAGTCCATATTTGAAAAAATTTCTTCATTTATTTGGTTTGATTACAGTAGTCTCCCTGTACCACAGTTTCACTTTTCATGGTTTCAGTTACCCACGGTCAACTGAGGTAGAAAAATATTATAGTATTTTGACAGAGAGACCACATTCACATAACTTTTATTACAGTATATTGTTACAATTGTTCTATTTATTATTAATTATTGTTGTTAACCTCTAACTTACAAATTAAACTTTATCATAAGTATGTACACATAGGAAAAAAACAGTATATACAGGGGTCAGTACTATCCGTGGTTTCAAGCATCCACTGGGGGGCTTGGAATGTATCCCCATGGGTAAGAGGGAACTACTGTACTCAAAGGGAAAAAATGGAATCTGAGATCTAGGAGTAAAGAGTTCCAACAAATTCTAAATGTGCAAGATCTGAAGAACTTACTTCATCTCAGACTTTGTTAATACTGAGTCTACCTGGATGCCAGCCTTTTCTTACCAAAAATACCAGTCTGGAATAATCAGGAAGCATAAATCATGAGAACCAAGAGAGAAAGCCAGAAACTTGAAGCCAGCACAACTTATCTAGTATTATCAGTATAAATGACAGTGACACATTAAATCTAGTAGGACTTGAGGACCCCAGAGTACAGACATAACAGAGATTATGTTTGGTGGAAAAGCCTGGAAACTGGGGTAAGGCAATGCATTTCAGTTCTGTTTGTGCCTCTTCACAGTTGTATTCATCATGATCTTTTTGATGAAAGTTACAGAAACCCAGCTAGAACTAGCTTAGGTGAAGGAAAGCGAGGCTTTTATTGGGTCAGGAAACAAAATCGACAGAAGCATAAAAACACAGATGTCGTCAAGGACAACTGAGCCAGGGATATGAGTGCTGCTAGGTTCCTCCCTTTCATCGCTGTTTCTGTCTGTATGTCAGCTTCCTTCTCTCGGACCAGAGCTCTCAATGTGCCTACCACAGCAACTTGCAGTGACCTCTGGCTCCCATAGGAATGGCTTCCCAACCAGCAAAGAGGAAGTTTTCCTTATGTCACCTCCCTCAGCTTCCTTCATCCTTCTTCTTGTCCAAGTTAAAAAAAAAAAAAGAAAGAATGAAACAATTCTAATTGTCCATGCTCTTCTCCTGAATTCAAGTGTTGGATAAGGAGGGTTATTATGATTAGTCCAGCTTCAGTCAGGTGGCCACTCCAAGTTCAGTCAGTGTAGCCCAGGAGATTGAGGTCACACAGAACGAGGCATCTTTCAATCAGACCAAATGTTGGACGCAGGGATTGTGGAGCAGTTTCCCACAAGAAAGAGGTCAGCAAAGACATGATCTCCATGAGCAAGGCAGCCCCAGTGATTTGACCACTACGGTAGCTGCTGAGCCTTAGGCCGAGTTTCTTCAACCTTCTGAGTTTCCTTAACCATAAAATGATTAAAATTACAATTCTTAATTCACAGGATAATTGTGAGAAGTTATTAAATTAATACATGATAAAATACCTTTAAAACATAAAATGCTTTACAAATAAATAAATTTTCAATTTTTTACTCAGACTGGTAGACTTCTGGAATCCTGGCATAAGCCACCAAAGGACTGTCTTTCTCCTGGCCCCAGTTTAAGTACGAGTCTGGCCAGTGAATTCACAAGTTAATTCCTTAGGAAAGGCTCTAATAACCAGCAAGTTATTTGTAGCAAATATGCCTGATCAAAGGTTAAAAGACACACTAGCAAGAATTAGGTCCAGCAATTTAAAACATTAAGCTTAAAGGAGTAAAAGTTTATTTTATCTCATCAGAAATACAGCAGTTTCTGCTTCATCACCTGGTATCTAAATTATGGGTCTGGCTGGTTGGCTCGGTTGGTTGGAGCACAGCCTTATAACACCAAGGTCAAGGGTTTGGATCCCTGTACCAGCCAGCTGCAAAACAAAACAAAGAACAAAAACAAAAATAAAATAAATTATGAATTAGTAAAAAGAAATGTATTTTCTGGAGAACATAGCTGAATATTTATCTTGAATAGAAAAATAAGTTTTACTCAGGACTTGTCCTAGTTCATTTTGTGCTGCTATAACAGAAAACTTGAGACTGGGTAATTTATAAATTTATTTCTTACAGTTCCAGAGGCTGGGAAGTCTTAGGAAGGTCTGCATCTGGTGAGGGCCTTCAGGCTTCATCATAACATGGCAGAGGGCATTGCATGGGTAAGAGAGAGAGGAAATAGGCTGAACTCATCCTTTTATAAGGAGCCCAATCCAGAAATAACAAACCCACTCCTGTAATAATGGCATTAATCTGTTCATGAAGGCAAAGCCCTCATGACCTAATCATCTCTTGAAGGTCCCACCTCTCAACACTTGCACTGGAGATTGTTTCCAACACCTGAACCTTAGGAGACACATTCAAACATAGTAATACTTCTTACTTCAAGCATTCTGAGTCTTTTCTCTGATACCAATGAATATATCACACGGGAGGCTAGCAATACAAATTTCATGCTGTTGAAAAGGAAACCAAGGTAAAAACATTCAGCAGCTCATCTGTAGTGGTCAGTGATATCACTCAAGTGATGTTACCAAGTGCGAAATCCCTGTCTTCCATCCCCAAATTCAGGACTTTCAATATGTCCTGAATTGACTGTCCTTAATCTAGTGCAATTTGACTTTGGAATTGAGATATATGGTACTTGGTGAAGGACATAAAGCAGACAGGTGGCTCTCGATGTGTGTAAGGCCTCTCTGAACTACTAGTTTCCATTGGATCTTCCTGCCTTTAGCAACTTTTCTCTGGTGGGGGAGGGTCAGGGAATTTAAGGGAAAAAGTGAGTTTCTCAGTGTCAGTCTTGCCTACCTTATCCCATGAGAACCCATTCTTACAAAAATAAAATGATCCGGCCTTATCCTCGGCATGCTGTACACAAACTCAAATCTCACCTCCTCTGGGATAGCCTCTCTGAGCTGTCAAGACTGGGTTAGATGATTCTCCATTGAGTCCCAGAGTACACTGTGCTTGTCCCTTGTCCATTTTCTTCAGCATGTATATATCTCCAGTGCCTAACACAGTGTAAAATAGCTTTTATTCAACCAGCAAATATTTATTGAGAATCCACAGTATGTCAGGTCTTATTCTAGTAGTTATAGGAGTTGATGCTTGAAACATAAATGAATGAATACAACTTCCGTTCCTATCTGCAAGTGGGACTAGGAACCAGTCTTGTACCATAAACCTGGGCTCCCCCATGCCCTGAGAGTTACAATCATTTCCTTGAACCACTGTTTTTGTCCAGTCATCATAACTGGGCCTCTTCCTTGTCTTCTACTGGTTCAACAAGTCCCCTTCTATGGCTGGAACTCTGCACCCTGGTCTGCTCAGCAAGAAAATGAGCCCTTGATTATTTCTTGATAATTTCCTTCTCCTGGGGGCTATTTCTAGCACAAACTTTATGAGACACCTGATTCATGATGCATTTACCCGTTTAACTTCAAGCCCCACCTCTGCCCGTTCTCTACAGTGGCTCTTTCAACTTCTATTATTCCGAAACCTCCTAGGTCACCACTGCCACCTCCTTCTTTCTTAATAGAGGACCTCAACTCCTGTCTCACAGAGTAAATGGAAGACACTAGATACAAACATCCTCAAATTTCTATCTGTACATCTTCAAAATTACCTGCATCTATACCTATTGTTTTCTTATTTCCTCTTTTCATTGTGACAAAAGGAAAAAACAAATACTCCAACCTAAGTTCTGGATCCCATTTCTGGAAAAAACAAATACTCCAACCTAAGTTCTGGATCCCATTCCTTCCCTCTGTCTAACTTTGAAGCACAACTTTCGTTTGTATGTATAAGTTCCATTATAAATCTGACCTATTAACTTTTCATATAGTACCTAAAAATCCTCTGTAGGCATGACACCCCCCAGGAATGACAACCAAAAATGTCTCCAGACATGGCTAAATGTCCCTTGGTGGGCAAAATTACCCCTGATTAAGAATCATCATTATAAACAATTAGAAGGCAAAATGTAGGACTTGAGAGTGAGATCAGAAGCTTTAGACTTCTGGATTCAGGATCAACTTGAGTTGCGTTTCTGAGTTTGAATATCAGTAACAATAAAACTTTAAGGGTTAAAAAATATTGGATATTAAAATTGTGGTAAAGAATCAAGTGATTAAAAACTCAGCTAGTAGTTCAAGATGAAGTTATGAGTGCTAATGAAATACAGGTACCAGACCAAGAATAGAAAGAACTTTATTTTCAAAGACAACATATGATTAAGAATATGATCTCCATTTGTTCTTCTACAGGAAGTTTTATTGTAAGAAAAAGATTATTACGAAAAGCTTTGAAGTGACCCAAGTTTTCACAAAATTCTCCTCCAGAATGCTGGTATATACCCTCCCAAATAAGTCTTTCTGAATTCCATTTTTTCTGATAAAAATTCTGCTTTGTAGAATATTAATGCACAAACTAAGAAGATAACTTTCAAACAGTATAATAAAACAGTATATATTTATTATAATTTAAAATGGCTCATTACTTTTTTTGCCCTGTTTACTTAATTTACACATACTGATACTTGCTGTGCATACCAATCAATAGGTTGAATACATTAGTGGTCACTTATGTTAAAAGTTAGGCAAAGGGGTCATTAAACATACACATAAAATAACCCTCTATACTAATCTTATTTTCTTGGAAAAATTCAACTTAATATTCAGCATTTCAATTTATTCTCTTTTTTTTTCATAAAGGGAAACTAGTTGATAGAAACAGAATATATCACGGTTAAGAATAAGGGCTAGAATCAAACTGCGGGTATTTGAAAGCCAGGCTCCCTCACTTGCTACTGGGAAAGTTGCTTTATCTTCTCTGTGCCTGTAACACAGGATTAGATGAAACAAAGCATGTGGAAAGTATATATATAGTGCCTAACATATCCTTAGCTTTCATCATCTTCATCAATAACCAACCCTGTCCACTGCAGAGAGGCTAACCAACATACCATTCAAGAAGAGGGCTTCTGGACCTAGCCAGAGCTTACCACTGAAAGTGATAATTGACACATAATAGCGTTTCTTCCAGATGCATATCTGAGGCTCATCAGTATCTGCTTCTAGCATGGTTTTAAAAGTCTCTCAGGAGCTTGCTGATTGTTGGCTACTACACTCAACATCAACAAGAAAGAAATTATCTAGGAATGAAACATTCTTCTTCAAGTAATATGATCTAATTTTTTTCCTTAAAAAATAATATATAAGAAAATGTGTTAAAAAAAGTTAGAGAAAATATAAGAAAATGGTTATCTCTTTGATTCATTTCACATTTACTGAATATCTGCTCTTTACAAGGAGTGATTTTGCTAGGGGTTGGAGATACAATATGAAGTTGAATATAATACAGTGCCTATTATCAAGCAGTACAGACAAATATAAAACACATATATTTGATACCAAATTCCACATCAGATGTATGAATTAAGTGCTATGAAAACAGAGAGAGGGAAAAAATTAAATAAAATATAGGAAAATGAAAAATTTCCTTGGGTTTTAGTTACACATACATAGAACTACTTATGGGAAGATCAGGGCAAGGTTTCCCATTACTCTCAGCGATACTCCTTCACTCCCCACCCTCCCCAACCCCCAACAACCACAATATTTGTATAGGAGATATAATAAATGTCAAAGAATACCATTAGAACAACAACAACAAAAAACCCGTAAAAGGCAGCATGGTGAGAAGCATATAAGAATTGTTCCATCCACTTTACGAAATGAAGGACTTTATGGGATGATTGTGTGGATCAAAATCAAGGCAGAAATAATTTTATAAAGGTTTATTGAAAGCCAAGCTTGATTCTGGACACTGGTAATATTCTGTCTCTCATTCGTATTATCAGTATACCTTAAATATATACCTATGTTTCATATGCTCTTTTGCATGTGTGATCTATTTTACAGTAACAAAAAGCCTTGTAATGGAACATTCCCTGCAGCATTTTTGAATATGTCAAATGACTATATATTATTTATTAAACTTATATTTTCTTAAACACCTATTTTATGTCCAGTATGCACAAGATCTTTTGAGGTATATAAGAAAAGAACAAAGTATTATTTAATTTTACATTGAGAATGTATTCATGCATTGTCTGCGTAAAAAGCTGAATCATAAGAAAGAAAACTTTAAAAAAAAAAAAGAAAGCCAAGCTTGAGGATCAACTCAGGAAACATAAGCCAACAGAGCTGGAAAGTGCTCTGAAGTCTACTTCAAGCAAAGGCATTTTATAAGGGAGTTTCAAAAGGGAGGGGGAAGCTCCTAGTACAGTTGTCCTTTTCTCATAGAACACAAAAAATCACAATCATTAGTTACTGATTACAACAAAGGAACCTAAAATGCCTATGTGCAACCTGAAGCAGAAGCGTCAGGCTTCAGCTATTATTAACATTATCTACGTGGCTTATTCAGAACCAGTAGGTTATACATTAATTAATAAATCAGCAGTTCTAACCACAAACATTGTTTATCTTAAGAAAAAGGTGTCAACATTGAGTTCATGAAATTTATCTCAAGGCAGTGAGTTTCGGAAAACCTGCTTCATAAGATTATTTCCTTCATTAATTGTATACATAGGGACCAACTAGAAAAGCCACTGTCACTCCATATTTCCATGTGCTTCAATGCTCACCATTTTTCTACATAAATGGATGTGTAGACTATAAACTCAGCATCTTATTTCCTAAAAGACCCTTCTGGTTCTTCGTATACTAGGAATAACTTCGACCAAGTAATAAACAGGCCAAGTGTATGTGACTTTATTAACCAGCTTGTCCTTCATTTTCTGTCTGCTTCACCGTAGGCAAAATTCAATACAAGGATGAAGAGCAGCAAATGCTTCCACAGTATATCTACCCCTGGCTGCCAGCCAGAGGTATGTTTGTAAGGCCTGTAAGAGCATAATGATTCAACTCTTTCTTCAAAAAAAGGAAATCAGCAAAAGAGAAGTCATCCTGATATTTTAGCTACTCCCCACCCTTCCTTCAATTTATCTGCCTTTCTGTATATCTCATTTACAAATTTTCTCCCATAATTATTTTTCAGATTTATAAAAAACTCAGGACATATCTATTTTCCTCTCATTCAGAGTAACCTCAGGAAAAGCACTCTGCCTGGAGGGAAAATGGTCCACTGAACCTAGGCAGCAACTTGGAAAGGCTGGCTCTAGAATGAAAATCTAGAATTTCATTAATGCACTGTGTGTAGCAGAGCAAATTGATTAACCTTCAAAAGGTATTGTGAATTTGGAAAACAAAAAAGAGCAGAAGGGATAAACAGTCCTATCTCTGATATTATCACAATTAATTATGAAATTCAAAACTGTTCTCAGTGAATAATAACAGTGACAATCAACAACATCGGTTTTTTAAATGGTCTTAAATAAAATCAAAACAATTTTCGATTCTTTTCAGAAACACATTTAAATTTATTCAAGAAGTTTTTTTTGTTGAAACAGTGTAATTTCCAAAATATTTATTTTGAAGAACTGCAGTTTCTGAAACTAAGCTGCTAAGGCTGGATATTTTAATTCCCTCAAAAATATAAAATAATCTAACATCTCTTCACTTGAAATTCACGTTTGGTATCAAATACAATACTAATAGCAAATGGTCACCTTAGTTAGCACTTTTTTATTGTTCAGTAAAAACCCATTCCAAAAAATGTCATGCTTCACCCGTTGCCTCCTCTAATCTGCAAAGGCCTTGTTGGTTACTGTTTATGAAAGCAGGAAGATGGCCTAGTGGAAAAAAACACTGAACAGATCTTGATTCTTGTCCCAATTTTACCACAGAGACTTGAGTAAGTAATTTAATGTTGTTGAACCTCATTTTCTCATTTCGAAACGGGGACAGAAACATTTTTCACTGCTTTACTCATAGGGTTGTTATGAGTCTCAAATGAGAAAACACATGTAAAGTGCTTTTAAAAAATGTAATGCTTTTGTGCATCCTTTCCTAGAAGATATGTAAGAAGGCACCTATTATATTTTATT